CGGGTTTGCCAACGGTAACTTCATCACTCGGTTCCAATAAGCTCTGAGATGCGAAAAAAGTAGAAGAAGTTGGGAAGAGATGCAAAGGTCAACTGATAGCATGGGCGACTCCATGCAACCAAAGTGGCGGTTTGCCAAAAAGATACCGTAGCTCCGATTTTGGCCCCTACAGCACCTCATAATTCGCTCGAGACGACCTAGACGACCTGAGACAAAGTTGTAGGAGTGAGAGGAGAGTAAGAGGTTGAATGTGATGCGGCGTGGCACACCCCTAAAGTGGGCGAGTTTGGCCACCACTCTCATAACTCCGGTTCCAAACGGCTAGACCGACCGGGAGAAATGTGGTAACTGTTTGCCGTAGGGAAAGGTTAAATGCATATTGGTCCTAAGTGCACCAAACTGGGCGGGTTGCCAGAGATCATGACTCATAACGCCTCTACACAGACCTCATAATCGACTGCGAATGAACTTAGAGACCTGAAAAAAAAGTCGTAGAGTATGAGAGTAGGGAGTAGAGGCTTGAACTGTGGACGCTAGCGTCGCACATCCCGAAAAGTGTGCGAGTTGCCACCACTCTCATAACTCGGTTCCTAGAAGCCCCACGTCCGGAAAAAAAGTGGATAAGGGTTGTCGAAGAAAACACTCATATCCATAACGTCTCCTACAAGACCTCAATAACTCGTTCCGAAAGACATAGGACACCTAGAAGAAATTGGAGAGGTGAGAGAAATAGAGGTTGAATGCTGAACGCTCGTCGCGGCACTCCCCGAAGTGGGCGAGTTTGCCACCACTCTTCACCTACTCGCTTTCCAAAAACGGCTAAAGACGACCGGGAAAATTGAAAAGGGTGGCGAGGAACAGGGGTTTACATGCTAATGGTTGTCTAAGCTTGCACAAAAGCGGAGTTATGCCACAGATAACAATTATTACCGTCCAAGAAGCCTTGGACTACCAAGGAAAAAATATAGAGTTCAGTCGAAAAAGAAAAATGAAGTCTCATGAACAAGGACATCGCAAAAGTGGCGGGTTAGCCCATGAATCGAATGAGCGGAGTTGTCTCCAAAGTACCTACCTTGAATCTCACTCAAGCAGCTCTGCAGTAATAGAGAGAACATTGTCAAGACATAATTTTTCCAGCCTTATCACCTTCCGAAAAAAAAACCCTGTCTGAGAAAAACCCCTCTCGAAACCGCCTATAGGTTATCAAATAGAAATATAGTTTTGATCCTATAGTCGGTGTAAATGGATGTACCGAAAGAAAACTAAAACACATCTAAAAAAGAAGCGACATCGATGACCACTCTCACGAGTGACTCTTCAAACGTCCTGGCATATAGTGATGGAGGATACCATTGCGGATCAGCTTGAGCGTCACCCCACCAAATTCAGTGTCCAGGGTACGCGTAGGATGAGCATGGCATCCAAAGACGCGCAAATGGTTACGGTGCCTAACACTAACGAAGTTACATTCTCGTCCCGCAGCCAATTACCAAGTGACTAGCTTACCGCCCAAGAACAATGTTCCATGCTGCCCAACACGAAAAAGTCGCTTCGTCCTAAGTTTTACCCCGAGCGGATGCCGATGTTAATGGATGTGCGATTGCTAACGATTGAGGATGTGAGCGATCGCGTCCAGCGTTTCCATCTGGGCAAGCTGCGATTCCTGCCGATGCCCAGTTATTGCGTAAAATTCGCTGTCACCTAGTGCGCCTCGCATAAGTCGTCGACGATTACAGCACACGATCGTAGCTGTCGCACCAGTAATTGCGTCATCGATCGTCGGACTTGCCTGAGATTTGACGCGTTAGAATGCAGTAGACATCAGACAGTTGCGATCGTTGCTGTCGTCCGACCGACTAGTCGCCCATACATTCACAGTGACTTCTGTGAACAGTGCTGCTGTAGACGATGTGTAACGTCTTTTATAGACAAGCTGGTTGGAAGAAAGCCGTATTTAAAGCAACGTCTGCTATGATATTCTGTTGGCGTTTCACCCGCACAACCGATGTTGCTTTTGTGCAAAAATCAATCATATACACGCGACCATTGGTCACAGAACAAAAATGCGACCAGTCTGTTAAGCATTTACACTGTCGCCAAACACCTACAGCCTGAAAAAAGTGGCAGTCCGAGTTTTGGCAGGCTGTCCACTTTTGAATCATCTTTACCTATCATACTTCCATAAACTTGGAGGAGTTTTAGCGCAACGAAAGAAAAGACAAAAGAAATCTGGCGGCAATTCGCTCCGTGGGTGGTGGGAGCAACGCCTGTAACACTGCGTATATTCACGGAAACGCTCTATGAGGATAAGCCTAAAAGTAGAAAAGGGAATCCATGCCGCGTGAACAAACTCTCTTTCTCTTCAAAATTCGTCCCTCGCTGTTAGCCTTAGTTCTAGTTTCCCCCCCCCCCCCTTTCCGATTCTACAGACGCCCTGGAATGTACGAAGTGTTTAGCCAGAAAATTGTAGTAATTTCCAAGTCAACGTATTTTCGCGGCAGCTGGAGGATAATGGATTATTCCCGTTATCAGACATGGAACCTATGCGCAACGTTTCGACGAAAATAAACTTTGTGAAAGTGCTCAGAGTAAACGGCCATTGCCCGCAAGGCCCTACACAACGGTTATTACTACGGAATACAGAGCTTCTGTCAATTAAAGATGAGCGTAGCTGGAAAAGTACACACTTTGGGTCTTATTGGGACTAAGCCTTTCGAAGAAGATAGGAAAGGGAGTTGCTGCGATAGTGTGCACTTGTGAGAGCTCCCAGACATCACTACAGCTGAACCGCCAAGGCTCGCGATTGACATATGTTCTGAGACCATTTCGTTGTTCTGATAGGTATGGTTGTGGATGAAACGAAGCAAGGAATATTGGTTGGGGTGTTGAACTTTCACGTGCCTGTCGTATCCATTAGTGATGCAGTATAACATGCTCTGTGCTCACAGATACCCTGTGGGCGTACTTGCAATTACCTACTCCTTTTGTTATCTTTGCGATCACCTTGACGACCGTCCCGCAACCTCACCCAGCTTAAACCACTTGCAATTCAACCATCTCATTTCTGAACCTACTGACATCATAGCACCCTTCTGTCGCCCGCTCCATAAGAGAACTTTACTTGTCCATCATTTTATGCTGAGCTTATCTCTTCTAATCGTGCAAAGAGCATTTGCCTAGTGATAGAGCATTTTACCTTCCATACGTGTCTGGCAGCAATTACCTGAACGATAGAGGGTTTTCCTGGCTCAGACGATACACGAGTTGAGACTTGATCCTGGATTTGAATGGTGTCATTGTGTACGACAGCCTTACTATTTTATAGAAGAGTTTCTCAGCATTCCCTGAATAAATGAATTGGGCCAATCTGTGTGTGAGGAGGATCTCGTCTCCTATTCTCTACATTATCAAGAAATGCCCCAAGATGTATTCCAGAGTTCCACGATGTAAGCGGCTGAGTCACCCTAATAAGTGGGACTGCGAGGAGCAAGAGAGCGGAGAAGTTCCTCAGGCTGCTTTCATAGTCTGCGCGTCGCAGACGCTGTCCGCACGGACAGTGCGAAGAGCGTCAACCCGCGCACTGGCGCACAACGCGGACTCGGCGCAGAGTCGCCGCCTTGCGCGTAATGCGCCAGTGCGCATGTTGTCGCTCTTCGTCCTGTCACAGCGTCCGCGACGGCGCGGACTATGAAAGCAGCCTTAAGCGGGTGTGGCGCAATGTAGTATCGGGGGGGGGGGGGCGCAGTTTCGCTGCGCACCGACTCTGCTGCTCCATTCTGTTAAGCGATTTTATCATTCGCTCCACCAATCGAGACTGAGGCCTCGGGCTGGTGGAGGGTAGCTCCGAGATCGTAGTATACCTTTTCACTTCCCAAAGTTTTCTCGCTCCGCTCTCGCTAGGCTTAAGTTCTAACAGGTGCGCGTACGAAGCAGAGCTATCAGCGCGCCATGCCGCAGGCGTCTGGCTACGCCTCCGGCCACTTGCGCTCAGCGGGTGCATTGGTTGACGAAAACAAGAGTAAGTGTTGAATCAATTCGAACTGGTCTCCGATCTAATGTCCACGACACGGCTCATTGGTTTCTTACCCTCGTTCGTAGTGTGCCCCTGCCTTCCAAAGATGGAGACACTGTGCTCTCGGAAGGATTGTTTTGATGTTCCGACCCACCGACGCTCACTTAGGTCGACAGAGAGGAAGATTAACTGTGTGGTATCGGCTTGACACAGAAAAGCGGCTACTTGTTCTGTTTCCAGAGCGAACAACACACCACAGATCATCTCCAAGACGATCTACTTTAAGATCTTACCGGCATATTCACCAAATGCCCGTAAGTGCTACTCGGATAACTCGATGAAGAAGAAGAAAAGAGCGGTCAACTGAGGCAAATTAGGCATGGTTTCAATGCAGCATTATTGTCTGGCGTTTACTGCAGTCAAGGAGCCGACCACTAAAATGTACAACTTCCGAAGCTGCTGTCAATAACACTGAGTTCAGCCGTGTTTTATGAACTGGACTGTGAAATCTGAAGCTGTGGACTAGGTTGGTTACAATGAAATAGATGGTATATAGAAGAGCGAATGAAATCGCACCCATCTCTGAACGAATTTCATGCCTACGCAACCCGAATTGTCGTTCGGGCAGTGCCTGTGTGGCAGTTGTCCGCAAATCGATGATGACGGCTCCGCAGCACTTCACGCTGCTGGGTGACCTCGCCTTCAATAGACACATACGCATTCAGCAGCCAGTTGTGGTTTTCTACTATTGTTTTCCACTTTTCTCTCATTGTCGCTATACTCACTAGTACTGACTGTTTATTTCTGCGTATTAGCAATTTTTCTAAAATTCTCGGATGGCACAATTTAACTGACTACGGATCTGGTCACTCAACTCAATTATGGGTATTGCGAAAGTTTTCACATTTATTGGAACTGCTTTTTGGCAAAGCTGTTATGGATTGATCATCAGACTTTTTATTGACTGTATTTCATTTGTGTAGTAACCATGAGTCGGTACCGATCTGACAGTGATGAGAATCGTGGACGCACCACAAGTCGAGCTACAAGCGATGGCTTGTCCACTTTCTACAGGTGCGCTTTCACTTGGATCATTTCACTTCTGCAAATTTGTTGCCGTTAGTGGTCTCATCTTTCAGGGAGCGATTTGGAAGTCATTCTCCCGAGGAATACATGAACTTGCGTATATCTGGTTTTGACGACAAACTGGAGCGAGAAGAAATAAAGGAAATTCTTGCCAATGAGTTCCGAAGATTTGCGCCATTTGAGGTGCCAGTAGAGATCTCGTCTCGTCCCAAAATAGGCTCGTTATTTTCATCAGTTGCAGATCAAAGTAGTTCGAAATCCTGGAGATGAGGAAAGATTGGCCTACGTCAATTTCGAGCGAAGAGATTGTGCTCGGAAAGTTAGGTTAGTCAGACTGATAAGATGACCCGATTTTTATAAGCTCTGACTTTGATTAAGACTGCTTCATTTTGACTTCAGGTACACTGTAATGGATCGTTTGAGAAAAGTGCTCGGTCGTCGTGTCCTTTGTGATCCTGCTGGAATTCTTCGCGATCAGGAAGGAAAATATATTCCGGATCGCTTCAATCGCGCGCTTCAGGTAATTTTCCTTATAAATTATCCTCATCGGTTGCTACAATTGGTTTTTTAGGGTGATCGTGGTGGGCGTCGTTCACCCGAACGAAGATCGCGTCCTAAGGAACCACCTCAGTGGAGGCTGAAGGAGGATGATTCCGATGCCACAAGAACCCTCTTTGTTGGAAATATGCCGTCTGATATAAGGGAATCCGAGATTCGCAAGGTGAATCATTAGGAATGGTCTTTGTCTGTTCGGTTTAACTTTTCGTAATCATCAATTCTCTCATATTCCACTTACACTGGTTTTCAAGTGCATGTGCTCCTCAACAGGTGTCAAACCTGAAGTGATCAAAACTTTGTGATTTTGGTTAGTGCTTTTGTGCGTTTTGGCGAGCGCTGACTACCATTTGCAACTATTGTGCGACCAAATCTAATCAATTGTGGAAATAGTGCATTTCAGACGCGTTGCATCACATTTTATTAGGTGTTGTTGTAGAAATGTGATGAAGTATAGCTAATTAACTGTACGGTTGATATACGTCCGGAGCGATTTTAGTCTTAGTAGTTTCATTGTGTTATGAGGTGAATAAACATAAAATTATGCTCAGGTTTTTGAAAGATACGGCAAAATCGAAGATATTGATATCAAAACGCCAGCAAACACCGACGCCGCTTACGCTTTTGTCATGTTCCAGGTACTGTTCCGTTGAAGTTAAACGTCGTATTATACTCTTAGAAAAGAACTAATCCCCAATTTTTTTTAGAATCTGGAGCAAGCAATGGAAGCAAAGCACGGCGAACATGATCGCTCTATCAGACCAGGTTCTGTTCGCTGTAAAATCGGTTACGGGAAAAGTCAGGTAAGCACTCGGTTAGCTGTGTCTTCGAATACCTCACTGAACAAATTAATTCTAGACTTCACGTCGTCTTTGGGTAGGCGGGCTAGGCTCGTGGACCAGTGCAGAAGCTCTTGCTAAGGAATTTGATCGTTATGGTCCAATTGAAAAGCTGGAATATGAAGCAAGTTCTCAAATGCTCTTTCAAGAAAACCCTTTTTGACGTTGGTACAATCTCAGAACTGATGTATGATCTTTAGAATGGAGCCGAATTTGCGTACATTCGATTTGCGGATACGAATGCAGCTACCGACGCGTGCAGAGCAATGAAGAACTTTCCACTCGGTGGCAGGGACAGATGCATTATGGTTGATTTTGCGAAGTAAGAGCTGGTCGTGCAGATTGGAATTATTTGTATGCAAAACAGTGAATTTGTTCAAGAGATGATACTGCCAAAGAACCTAACACGGAAGTGGTAGGAAAAGGAGGGCCACAAAGTCGCCAGTCGGTGGGCCTCGAACACCGCCGGGATCGCCGAAACCCGTAGTGAAATCCTTTGAAGAACTCGATGAGGAGTACGCAACAACTTGGCAGGGCCAGGTGCTCCTTCTTTACTTCATTCTCATTTCTTTATCATTGAAAATGCTGTATCGTTTTTTGTTTTGTTTCAGGTGATGCTTAAGAAGACTGAATACAGCATCAGATTGTATAGGATAGGTGGAACAGAGAGGTTAATCCAAAAGTTGTTGCGTGATGACGATGGGAACGCGGTCAAGCTGCACATTACTCAAAGGTGATTTTTCAGCTTCATAGCCCCCTATTTACCCCAAAGTTTGGCGCGCTGTATAGCGGTGCCGAAACGCGATTCTTTTTAGCTGTCCCGGAATCCGAATTAGCTTCACCACCTTCTATACGGGCGGAAGTGGTGTAGTGGACAAGTGTCGCGCGCTCACACGTCGAACGGTTCCCGGGATCAAATCCTGCGAGTCGTGAGTCGCCCGGGCCAACAAGCCTTCCATCTCTCGAGGTCGTATTAATTGATACCAACTTGTCTGGGGGAGGGGATAAAACACTGACTTGAACATCGCTGGCCCGCAAGTCATCTTGTATAGGCCCACATCGATTCAAACGCCACTGACGATATGTTGACAAATGGAAGGTGAGAATGATGGGGCCGCATCCCAAAAAGGGCATTCAACGGCAAATGCTTTATCTGTTCTTCCTTTACCCTTCATACAACCTTCTTCCAATTTTTCTCTGAGTCGTCTAGGAACAGGAACGAATTCTGGGGTTCCTCAGTCGTTCTCGCCTATCTCGAGGCACGTCTCACAGCCACTAGCATTTCGTTTCTCCTTTCCAGACTCCACTCACTTCTTTCGTATTCTCAAGGCTGTCTCAGAATCGAATTATGGAATTTTGAAAACCGAGAAAATGCGCACACTAAAGATACGCTCCGTCAGCTCACACATTTATGAACAACTCGCTCATTTAGAGATAGTCCGCCTGCCGCTTTAGTGTTAGCTCATATTACTCTGTGCATTCTGGCCTATGCCGTATCCCTCCTAGTCTTCCCCTGGTTATTTATCAGAATTTCGTATGATATGTAGATGATATCGAATTCTTTGAGAGACAAACAAAGGTGCTAACAGACAGACATATAGGCAAAGGAGGCCGATCATTGTTGTAGGATAGAGTGAGTACGACCTGGACTGAATCCTGCCATGCAATGAAACAAAAATGGATCTCCGAAGTGTATGAACTGTATGTCCTTATAAAGTCCTAACTGCTCCGAGAAACCCTTTCGAATAGTACACCTGGAATGTTCTATCAAGCTAAAGATACCGTCGTGTTATATAGAAATAGGGATTGATATAGATATATTTTCTCGAATCATGAAGATTCTCACGTGCTCCTTTGACCAAATTCGCACTTAATCCTTGCTAATATGAATAACTATTTTGCTTTTTTAATTGTTGTTTGAAGCACGAAATTTCTGCAGAGATGTTCTCGAAGGACTGCAGTATAACGTTTGAAAAGTCACTTTCCAGGCTAGCACTGTCAGGTCAGGAAGGACTCTTGGAGAGGTTGATGAATTCTTCTAGTAAACAGCTGAGTCTCATGATAGCAGTTGGAAAGCAAATGGATGACATTAGGCCGTTGGTACGATATCTTACAGATAAGGACGCTGCAGGTTTGTCCAAAAGTTACAAGTTATGTCCGAATCATGCCATCTTTCTCTCATATTTCTCTGATTACACACCCGAATTGTTTTAGGTGTTGTCACTGTGACTGGGGGACTTCTGTATATATTTCCACACAGCGACATGGCTTCTAAGCTAATGACTCACTTTGCCCCAACTGTGCGAATAATGTCTGAAGGCTGTCCATTTCTATTCTTTGTTCTTGGACTGAAAACATCGTCAGCTGCTACTTCGCCTGATCGTTGATTTATATTCTCTATTTTCTATACCGGATGAATGAGATTCCCTCTAGCGGAACCATCAGGTTTGACCGAACTATTATGGATGAGAAATCTCTACCAAGCTTCAGGATGATAAATTCTATTCGCTGTCTATTTTTGCGTGCAGGCCGTGCACTTTTTCGTAAGTTTTGGGACTTCGCTCTTTTTTGTGAAAGACAAAGTTTACGATTAAAAAGCATGGCCTCATGGCACCAATAGTATTCCTGTGTAGCCGGGTGATCACTGCTTATTCCTTGGATCTGCTACCCATATTCTGAATTATATCTGACTGTACTGACCACTACTGCTTATTTTCTCTACTGCAAAAGTATTCTTGTCATTAATTATTGACGTGTGTTATGGTCGTCGTGGTCCCATTCCACAGTTTGATATACTGTTCAGTTCATCCGGAGGATACTCTGAAGTGATGCTGTCTGACATATTTATTTTCGCACTGTGCAACATATTCCTTATTTCTTTACAGATTATGCATATTACTCTGTGCAAGTCGCATCGTTGGTATTCTGCTATGTTTCTACCATTATTCTCACTCATAGATTATTTTAGATTGTGTATTAGAGGCTTTAACATAATGAATCTTTTCTATCGTTCGCATCTCCTTGAATCTTTCGCTTGAAAGGCTATCGTGACATATTTCTGTTTCGATTATGTCCACTGTCCAGTGGCTTCCTTATGTATAGTGTTGTGTTGGGAAATGGCCGCGGCAGCATAACTCCCGCCGGTGGAAGTTAGTATGGATCACCGTTCCTTCTCCCATGATCAATACGATCACCTCTGGTGGGTGATGTCGTTAACCTAGTTCAACCCAATACTCCAAAGATACTCCAAAGTCCACGTAAGTGGGGAGTGGGTGTGTACATGTAACTGTCGAATTAAAAATCAACGTTTCCTACCGTTATCCAGCTAACCCCTACCGCCCTATGCAAGACCTATACCAAGTACGATATCCCTTTTTACTCAAAACATACCCTTGCCAGGGAACCTCGACCATTGTTCACCCTTGTACCATGCTCTTTCTCATTCCTCGCTCTCTGCCCGATATGTTCGCCATGAGCATGAGCAACGGGACATTTTAGGGATAAAGCTAGGGTTGCGCTGACTTATGGAGCAATTTAGTCCCCTTGTTATTGGCCTTGGCTTCTAAGACAATCACATTAAAGGGCAAGTGTCACAGGGGACGATTGTGATGTACTGTTCCCCTAATCATATTCCCTCGATTGGTGTACCATCTTTTAAGAGAACAAGCTGTGAGGTAGAACAATAACACCTTGCCGTTGGAATGCGTTCACCGTCCTTTATTCTTAATCGGTTATCCCAACCTTACTGGCTTAATGTTCTATTCTTATAATCGGTTATCCCATACCTTGCTGGCTTGATGTTCTGTTCTGGCTGTTCTCCTATATCAACCCAGCCTTTTTGGACTCCGGTACCATGCTACCCATGCTACTAACATCTAAATAGCCAAAGGTTTGTGCAAAATTGCGCCTTATGGCTAGAGGGAACAGTTTGAGTGGGTATTTTCTACTATTAAAGCAACAGGTCAGAACGGTTTCGCGGTGAAAAACCGACCGAATAATGAAGTTTGTAGATGACAAACAGACGATTATGTATGAAAAAAGTCGGAAAACACAAAACGTCGGCGAGGGTCTTAGACAGGTTACCTCTCGAGCCGTCAGCAATGGATAAAGACGCATGTTGGACGAGTTGTCTGCACGTGCCGCCCTGTAAACGCGCTCCATTTCTCAACCAATTTTCCTGTGGCCTCAAACACGAGCACGAATTCGACGCGTCAATGGACGCCGGGGAGGGGGGGCGCGATTGGCGGGAAGATCCTCAAGAACACCTGTTTGAAGGACTTTCCACCCTGTTTTTGAGCTTGTCTGCGTGTAAGTTCGTTTATTATTTCCACTGCATAGATTCTTACTTAGCGGCTCGTGCTATCCCTCAGGTAGTAGTGCATTGAAATTTTCGGACCCCTCCCTGAACTGTTGCTTTTAAGGAAATAGTTTTTTGTTGACGATATAGGTTGTCAGCTTATCATCAAATTGTTCACGAAATCAAGATGTTTGAACCTGGAACTCCACAGCAGCTCATTTCTGGGTAACGTCTGGATTGGCGTATTTGGTCAATATGTTTCAGTGAATGCCCTTGCATGTTCTTCGGACGAGGTGCACAAGGAATTGCCGCCGTGAAACGACAGCGTGGAGATGAACATGGCGCTGGGCATCCATATGTTTTAGTAGAAGATTTGGAAGAGGTGACCTTATTCGAGTTGGTAATTGCTGCTGTGCTTTTGGAAGCTGCTTACCACGCCAAAGGTCGTGAGATACGCGGTTGTAGGCCTCGTTGGGGCGTTCAACCAAGCCCTCAGCCTTCCGGCGTCGGATAAGATTAATAATGATTCGAAAGCACCCCATATGGGAGGTAACAAAAACGTTGACGATCTCCTCAATGTAATCGAAAATTTATTGTTATTGGGTGGCTATTCAAGTGGTATTACAATTCCTGAATGGAATAGAATGCGTGTCTCAAAAGATCGTCAAAGGAACCACACCTTTGAGAAACCCGCAAGACTAATTGAGCAAGGGTTCCGTGCCAACACCTGAAAAGAACCCCTGATGATACACTTAGGTCCCGGTTGAATTTTTTGTCTTCGCGTTATAGACTGACTGGCCGATTCGTAGTCATGGCCCCAATTAATCTTTACGGACTTGTCCGAGAATGTTCTCATTTCTGGAGATATTGGCATTATAGATGGTGATCTAGTACCAAGTACCTACTGATTGACTTCGGGCCAACAGAGGATCCCGGGCCGTGAATCGAAATTTTTGAATCTGTAAACGAAATTGTTTGAGAGGGGTTTGTCGAAGTATCTTCACCCAATCGAGAGTGGATATTTGACGTATTTTTGATTTGTAATGAAGTATTCTGTGTACCATGTGGTTTAGAGGGGGTTAAAAGGGGGGGCTAGGCTTCCGACGTCGATCAATCCTCTGCGCGGAAGCACCACGCCATTTCACTTCCACTCAGAAGTAGTGCCTTGGAGGGGTACGGTCTATAAAGATGACCTTGCACAGGGCAGTCGATGTATAAGTCGCGTTGCCTCCGCAGCATAGTCTGGGTAGCACTGAGCTGACCCATATGAGAGATGGGGTGGTCTGTGGAGCCGTGGAAAATGGTGCATTTGCCAGCTACAGCAACTCCGCCTCATGTGGCTTTATAGTTATGTTAATGTGAATTATGTAGGCGTAAATGCCCAAAAAAAGTGGGAAAAAGAGCGCTTGCTTGAAAATGGACATGAAAAGTGATGACGCCGGCATGCGCACTGGGAGGTTCCATGGGGTTCGCAGGGATAGTACGCGCAATGTGGCACGCTTTCCGCAAACGAGTTGAATAATGATCAGATGACTGAGCTTGACGTTCAGGAAGTTCATAGACGATCACTTTCACGAATTTTGTTTTCGTGGAGAACGTGTTGCTATCGGTGCGTGCTGGAGGCAAAGGAGGTCAAGGACTAGCCTACGTGATGAATGGTAACAACTTAACCTTCGATGAGCTGATTTTTTTTGTGCAGGCAGTTTTCCAAGTGGTTCGTTGTTGAGTCACAACTTGGCTGGAACCTAAGTTTATTTAATCTTGTGTCGAATAAACCCACCTCAGCATCACGCGCAACTACGGCCCACTTTCTACATACGCACATGCCTACATTGCCCACTGGAGTACCTTATCCTGTGAAATTTTGATATAACATTCACTTGTGAGAAGCGTTTGGCGTTCGCGCAACGTGTGCTGGCACCAAACAAAAATGTCTTCTAATCAAATGCCACTGAGGCTAGTTTTCAGCCAAACCTATCTTTCTGAACAAACTTCGAGAAAAAATCAGCACTAACTCTGAAAGGTGGGATGGAAAGGATGACTTGCCCATACATAGTCACATATTTAGACACTTAATGAACGCTACGATTATGGATTGGATTTAGTGTTACTATCTATCGACGAAGGAATAAAAGGATATCGTGACGACTCTTTAGAAGTAAGACAAGCTACTTTATCATTGAACTTTTCGCTTTGTGTGGAGAGGGAAGCTGATTTTTCATCTCATCCTATTTATGCAACTATTGAGATTTCAGGCTGTCCAGAGGAATCGTGTCGAATATTGTATGCCTCTGACGGTAGTTACCTATAAAGATTTGTACGGCTGGACGATGGATGAGATCGTGGCAAAGATAGGAAAGAAAAATAATTGCACATTTTGTGGTGTCTTCCGTCGGCAAGCTCTGGACCGGTAGGTTCTTTAGTCAATTTTGTGACATATGTTCAACTTTAATTATACCGATTCGCTCTAGTGGTGCTCATAAAATCGGCGCGTCTAAGTTGGTGACTGGTCACAACGCAGATGATATGGCGGAAACCGTGCTGATGAACATCTTACGTGGCGATGTTGCGAGACTTCAACGTTGTACTAGCGCACTCACTGGTGAAGAAGGCGAACTTCCTCGAGCTAAACCGTTGAAGGTTAGTTACAGGCTTACCATTAAAACAAGACCGGTAGGGTCTGGAAGTCAGTTTGAAAAATTTTGTCTTTCTTTTACCACTAACGAATGGTAAGTGCGGTAGAATGTGCATTCCAAGGATAATTGAGGAGAAGCAATAAACAGAGGGAAAATACAAGGAGCACTGACCAGGGGCCATATTCAATCCTTCCCCCAGGGGAATGCATCCCCTCCTCTGATTCAATCCTTGGGGAAGATAAAAAGGGTTGCGGACCGCCATATCCTCACAGAAGGCATTAAGTCCATGTAACTTGAATTGGACCCTGATATATCAAAGAGCTTCAAAGATGATTTTACAAACATTGAGCTAGAACTGCAAATGAACTGCGAGAGTTGTGAGCAGTAAAAGTTGTCATGTTAAGCGTTACGTATTACCGTGTCAGCCTACCGGCTTTATAGTTACGAGCAAGTATGGAGTGCTCTAAATTTTCACTCCAATAGGAAGAAACTTTAGACTTCTGTGGAAGAGCTGTTCATATCGTATCTTCGTGGCGACATTGAAAGCCTTGAATTTAGCACGTTTCATATGTACGCTTTCTTTAGCAACTATTTGACTGACCTCACACTCTTGGCAGGTCCATTTTGCAGTTCTAGTTTCAGATGTGTGCAATCAGTGTCTGGAGTTCTTCGATGTATATCAGGTTCAATCCGAAGTTACATGGGAAGTTGAATGCTTACCTGTTTCATTTGCCAGACAGGAGCAGCGCGCTCCCTCAACGAAGAGATGTGCTTCACAGTGGGAATTACAGAGGGTACGGCGTCCTATGACGGCAACTTTATGTCTCCCCGAGGAATGACATCAGAGAGGGAGACGCACACTGCAGGAATGATTGAATACTGCCTTCTGGTAATCTTTCATGTCTTGCTCAATTATCGGATACGGACTTAGATAACGTAGGATGATAGTGCTCTGTGCCATGTGCATGATCGGCAGCGAATGGCTGATCGGATTTTGCCAGGCCATTCTTCCAGGGTCGGTCAATTGGTGCCAAATTGGAATAGATATGTAAAAGTGTTCAGTTTCGGAAGGCGGCGTATAGACTGTCAAATTCAGAGGGGGAATTTTGAGGGAATTCGATCCGACGATTTTCTCGCCGTCGAGATCGAACTGTGGGTGCTTTGTTGGGAAATCATTAAGAGTGTAATGGGAAGTCATGAGGTAAGAAAGCAAAAAGCTGCCATAATAACATCTGAATTCTTTTGTGAGTCGGTTGTGTAATGACGGAGAAATAACAGCCGCTTATGGGGGAGAAAATGTGAGAGAGCACGTCGTACGCGAGAGGGCGCAGACGTCACTTATCCTGCGGTTAAAGTATGGCAGCACGACAGCACACAAGTTGCCTTTCACTTTCGAGTCGTGACTGCGTGACGCCTCCTGCGCTTGGGGACCCTTCTCACTCTGTCACGGAGTAGTGTTCAACTAATCCGGACACGTGCCTTCAGGTACCACAGCTACAGCGAATGGAAGTAGAAATTGCGGCGTATTTGAAAGATGGAAAAGTTCCAGCCGAAAGCGTTATACCATAGCCTTTTTATTATTTTCAATAGCGAGTATTTATAGCAATTAGAGATTATCACATTGGAGTAGAAAAGAATATTGAAATATGAATAAAAAACAATAATGAGTGATATCAGTTAGGAAGGGATAACAGCAAGAGATGTGGGTGTAGTGTTAATGAAATGTTGATGGAGCGTGACTTTCTTTTCATATTCTAATGCTGTCATCTTAAGTACTGCTTCGAGAAGGATATTGTTATGTACGCGCGACTAAATAAGTTGGATTATTTCTATACGGAATGCGTTTATGCTCCCGATTCATACCGTGCATATTCAAGGTACACTTTCAAGCTTTTCTTTTTTTCTTAAGCATATTTGTGCATTTCCAGGACATTTATCAAGGATCTCGAACGACTGAGGCCGGAGTCTATTTTAGCTTTAATAAAGTCCGGAGAGTCAGTTGTAGTGAAGACGGAAGTGGCTATGCCAACGTTAATCAACTGTTCTAGGTGAGCTCATTGTATGTACCCTTTTCGTTTCCAATATAATTCTTACACATCTTGATTCTATTATTAATAATATATTCACAATGAACCCAATTTCAGATGTGGATATATCTCAAGTCAGTCAATTTGTAAAGCATGTTTGTTGTTAGAGGGTCTGAATACTGGATGTACCGATTTGGGGATAAGGAGAGTAAGTTTTCAGTAAACCACAGTTTTCCTCAACGAAAGGGTAGCAAATTTGTGACAATCATCATTACTCTACTAATTAGCTCAATTTAGAAGACGAAGAAAATAGCTATTGTTGATGAAGAGAACCCTCAAACAAGCTCAAGCTGCGGCGGTGGATGTGACTGTGATGACAACGTTACCACTTCGTTTTAATGTTTATTTTTTGGTTGTTACGTTGACTTTTATTGTTAACTGTTATAGTCAACGATAAAATATAAATATATTGATCAGTGATCGCTGTCAGTAATTATTTTTCTCCATACGATCCAATTAAAACTGAAAATTGTCTCGCTGAATTATTTTTCTTGTGATTTTAGTTCAAACTACACACTGGTGTGAAAACTTAAGGGTGGGAGTAACTTCTACATGACTTCTCACTGCTAGCTAACCTGGGGGGGGGAAGAAAAGCTCACCGGCGGCGCGGACGCGAGCATGTGCTGGTGACGTCACAGCTGCGTCAGGCTGAAAAAGCGCAAGCAGTAGCCTGTCCCTGACCCTGTCCAGCCGCAAGCCCGCTCGGCACCTCAGCATCCTCATTCACGCGATTGCAAGGCTCCTCTCGGGTTCTTGTTCCAGGTTCCAGCACTCGCTTCCGTAACCATCGCCGGCCTTACCACTGTTTGGCACACCTTCCCTTTGAGCGTTCTGGAGCATCTGTCGATTGCAGAGGATCCCTTTTATTCTCTCCACTTTATCCAGGCCGCGTTGATTCGGCCCTTCATTGCCTGTCCCACACTTCCGTCGGCAGTAGATCACTCCCAGGGTAGCGGAAGTCCTCCAATCTCTCGATGTTCTCTCTATGGCCGTCCCCGATCGCTCTGCACCCTCTTGGAGCTCAGGAACTTGGTCTTCTTGACATTCAGCCGTAGCCCACCTTCTGTCAGGACTTTCTGCCATTTCTGCACCTTGGCTTGAAGTTCTTCTCTGCTGTCCGCTATCAGCGTTATGACATCAGCGTAGAGGATGGTGGACCTTCCATGAGGCCCTTCACCATGGTATCGAGCGTTAGGAGCAACAGGAAGGAAACTGGGTGCCATCAGCAGTTCACACCTCCACAAGACTGTTTCATCCCAATGAAGGTCGGAGCGCTCTACAACAAAGTGCTCTAGCCAACTGTTTCGCGACATTCTCCTTGTTCAGAATTACCAGACTAATATTTCCATCTGAAGAATCTCCGCATATCTATTAAATCGGCCCTCTCTAGAACCTCTCTTCTTCCATCAAGATCGCTAAGTTCTATTGACTACACGACTATGGCAGTTGACGCAGAGTAGTTAGATGTAGCTCACATCTACACTTCCAGAATCATCCCATGCTGCAGCCAAAAATGCAGCCATCGGAACAGGGTTGGAAAGAAGGCGAGTAAACGAAGGAATGATCGCCATATACTACGGTCGTGGGAGTTATTCTAATCAATCAGGACTAGAAACATCTTTTGGTTTGCACAAGCACGCTGACTTGCAGACAAACACCTTTTCGACTGAATCTGGTAGGTTACTAATGGGGTCGGAACAGAATGGATCTGCACCAAACCTTCATCATTTTATTGAGATTATGCATCATGAAAGCGATTGGAAGGTTTTGAAGGAGGTTCCTCGCACCGACGAGAGAGGAGTAGGATTTTTGATTTGCTCGCAAGCCGTCCTCGATAGATACTCGACGCAGATTTTGAGCACTTCCAAAACAACTGTAGCCCCTATTGGGAAGACTGGATCTTGTTCTTCATAATGATTCCTTAGATTTTCGAAAGACTGTCATTAAATGCTAGTGTGTGTTTAGAAAAGAAGCTGAGTACAGTTAAGTAACTAAAGGTCACGTGTATTCGGAATCTGCCGTATTTTTCCGAAGTGCTTCAAGAAAGTTATAGTCCGTCAAGAAGGGTGTAGATTTGGCAATTTTAGGCTGGTGCCGCTTCAATTCGAAAGGCACGCACTACACGACGACGTAAGCAAACCAGCCCTTTTTGCCGGCATCGGCTGATACGTGTGTCTGAATGTTGGACGACGGGGTGAAGTTCGACGGTTTAGACGGACCACTTCAACTCGTGTGCTTGGAACCGACACAATTTGGTGTTAACTCAGAACTAAGCCTTGAAAGGAATCTTGCGCGCGAACACTCTTTCCTAACATGAATATGTCAGTGTGATCACTGGACATAGCACACAAGTTCACGCATGAAGATTCGCGTTTCTGGACCGAGAAGCAACCGTCAAAAACTACACCGTTATGGACCATCGAAGGACACGCAGGCTAGAGCAGGCGAGGCATGGACAAGAAGACGGGCGTTTGGCCGCGCTTACGTACCAGGCGACGCAATGAGAAAATCGGGTTAAGCGCGCGATTTCGGGAGAGTGGAAACAAAGCGATCGATGGAATAGGATGGGCAGTAGAAGTGTAAGATGTGAATGGCAACGGAAGCAGAAGGCCAGAAGAGCTTTCGGTGAAAACACTCCAAGAACCAAGTTTGAAGCATCCGCGTCCCCAGCATTCGTGAAAGACGCCTGGGCAATTCGAACGCGTAGCAGCCTTTCGAGTTTTCGACTTTCTGATCAAAACGAAAGCACAATACTTCAGTTCTTTTCCTATTATCGTGGATAATGGGTCTCGAAGCCAGGATTTATGGCTGAAATAGCAATCTTGAGTTTTTCCGCGCAGGATTACATTAAAGGGAGGACGGGTCCGTCCCTCCCAAGGCTTAGTCCAGGGGTGGAGCAAACCAGACTTCTGGCGGAGCTGCTGGACCAGCTGCACCTTTTGCGTCAGTACTCTCGTATCGTACCAACCGAGTTGAATAAATCGACCGCTGGGTCCCATCCCTCCCCAACATTCAGCATACTCGTCCCAGCCGAAAACACCAAAAGGCTGGTTTGTCACTTCCTACACGACCACGGACGGTCACTGGCGTGTACCGCGAGCGTGGAGACTGCCCAACTAGCCTCTAATTCCGACCCATTCCACGTCTTCTATCCAGGCACGTGAGGGGGCTAAGTAGTCCTGAAAATAGAGAAAGAAAGCCGCCGTGCAAATTCGCGTTTGGGACTCCAAATAGCCGGAGCATTCACGTGCCAGCAGGCGCCCAGTCCCTCTCGTGATCTGTAACTAACATGCAATGAAGCCATTAACGCGGGTGTTAGCAAAAGAGGATGTATTCAACCTGGGGGCAACGGTCGTTGCGGAAAGCAACAACGGGATGTCGTTTGTGGGCCATTGGAGAGAGGAGTCGTAATCTCAAGGACACAATACGAAATGAATCATATTCAAGGCATGGAGTGGCAAGGACGCACGGACAGGTAACCCAGCGTCTGCGCTAACCTGCGCACCACAGGACGATGAATGGGTGTCCAAAAGCGAGGTTCTGTCGCGGAATGCGACGGTTGCGTGGCGCACCGTGCGCCCCGGCCGATACTTCGCGCTCGGAATGCCAATGCGCAATGCGCCGCGCAGATGCGTTGCTCCTTGCGTATTGGGCTCGCCCGCTACCGGTCAGTCCGCCGGCAGTTCGTAAGTGTTCGTGCGCTGGACGGGCGAGCGCCGTGGACCAGGCTTGCTCGGAGTCCGCCTATGGATCTACTGGAGCTGTTCAGGTGAGGTATTGAACCGGTGTTGAGCCCCCTGAGCACTTGAGGTTGCTAATAATGAAATGTCATCAATACGAGTGTCCCTGTGCTGGCAATCCAGGGGGTTGGTCGGTTCCGGGCAACGCGAGGAGGCCGCCGGAAGGCGAGGAGGGATGTCCCCTCGAGCCGGTAAGGATGCGGAGCGTCACCGGTTAAACGGGTCGTAGGTCCCTCCCTGCTCCCCGTCTGAGCGAGCCAGCGTTATCGCGGCCCCGTCTCGGACCGTGTGACGGGGGGCCTAGAACTGTTGTAACATCCGAGGCGGGATGAGGCGGTCTAATATGTCTGGTGCCACAGTCAGCTTCCGGAACCAACCCAGTGGTCTGCCCTTGAGCGAGGTGGCGAGGGAGACAGAGGGTGATGGTGAAATATTGCGTTTAATAAATTATATTGTTATGAATGTTGTATTTATTGCTCATGTGGGTTTTGCCTACTATTCATACTGTGTTGCATCTGTAATTAGTTGTTTGCGCCATGTTGTTAAGGTGTTTGGCGCAGCTTGCGTTCTTTTGAATCCGGGAGCTGCGGAGCGCAGGAGGACCGTTCAGGAACCCATTGGTCCCCGAGGCGGTTGGTTCGCTTCTCCTGCGCGGTCCTCAGTGCGCCTTAGGCAGAGGGGCTGTGGACCGATGAAAGTCCTTGGACCCGAAAGGTGCCAGGCCGTCAGGAGTTGAATCAGGCAGAGTCCTCCATGCGCGATCGCAGTTACGCGACAGCTTATAACAAAATTACTTCAGTCTCCAGTGACAGCATCGAGAAACGATTTTTTCAAGAGAAACTTTCATGCTTTTTAGACCAGATCATAGTGGAGGAAAGTCAGCTTTTGTCGACTCAGTCATTAGGTTTAAGTGGACGACTCTCGGCGAGGAGACTCTCGGTTCCTTCCGAGGACATCTTGTCTTGTAAAGTACCTGATCCTCCTAATTTCAGTGAGTTCTTACTGCTATTCATGCTACTCTGTTTTGAAGAAATTTATGAATCATTCGAAAGAATGAAAACGCGTTTCAGCGGAAATGGCATAAGAGCCTAAAAAAGGATGGATCCGAACAACGAAAGAAACGGGGAAAGTTTTTTGAAGAATTAAACGCATTGCAACGGAGGAACTTTTTCGGAAGATAACGGTTTTGCATTTTCTGAATGTTTTGTAACCCAACTCTGAAATCGCTTCTGTAAGAGAAGATATGACCTGTCCAGATGAGGAGGCTTATGTCTCGGGGTCGTAATTGCTGCAATTGATTTACTGCTCAGTTTGTGAAAAAGGAGCACTGTAGGGTTTGAAAAAAAAAGCTTGGCTTCTTTGAAAGCTAGCGCTCTGCCAATTTACATTCATGACTGACGTTAAGCAAAAGTTTTAGAATGTGCTCTTATCAGTTAAGTGAAAAACTTTGCGCGCATTCCCGCTCGACTCTTGAGGAGGACAAAACCCGGTGTTAGGACTCCTTGTGTATCTAACGCTGTGGTTTGGGGAGCACAGAATTCTTATTGCTTGTAGCCTGGATTTTTCTGGGCGTGTCTCTCAGTCTCAAACGAGGCCGCGCTGTGGATCATTCGAGTGACAGTTATGTGCTCAGGAGTGGTGAGGTATTGAGGTTTAGCTCGCGAGAATTTGCTGTGCATGGATTCCAAACCCGTTCGAATTCGTCATTGGGTTAGGTAGTTTCGGCCGGTATCATCATACTTTTTTCCGTTGTTTCTGAACGGAGGCGGCATTTGCTCAATTACTGGCCTTACTTTGAGAGATGGAAAAGACATTTTGATTCACTTCGTTTTCTGAAAGAAGAATTTGTCAAGTTATAGGTTTTTATTAAGAGATTATGAGTCCTACACAAGGTTAAAAGTGATTATTTTGGTTCTATAATGAAAGCGGAATTTAATTCCTAGTAATAGAAGGAATCAAAGTTACTTAACGAGTGCTAACGCTTTAATCGGTTCTTCCTAGTTAGTTTCCGGCACGTTCTGCCACCAGTAAATCGATCGATGTGGTTCGGGGGAATACAGTGGTAGAATCTTTATTGTGTAACTTGGATTCTGGGCGTGTCTCTCAGTCTCAAACGAGGCCGTGCATGTGGTATCATTCGAGTGACATTTATGTGCTCAAGGAGTGGTGAGGTGTTGAGATGAGTGCGTGGGTGAGATTAGATGGGAAGGTTCTGGTGGTATGCCAGAACAAAACGGTATCACCACTGTCCACACAGCAGCTTTCAAAAAAGGATGTAAAGTGAGTACATGGATTAGTTAACCCCACGAGAGGGTGTGCGCTAGGTTCGTGTTTGCTTAAGCCACAAAATTTTAATTCGGTTGTGCAGGATGTGCGTTGAGCTTGTTAGAACCAGTTATACCGTGTGCTGATATGATCAGGCTTATCAAATTTTTCCAAAAAGATACAATATGTATAGGAGTGAAAGTCAGTAAAACACCATTCTCCTCCATCACCGTCTGTAGTTTGGTATGTTTCGCTATAGAATTGATTACGATTTCGGCTTCCTGTTAGGGTGTTGGCGGCTGGTTTAGGTCGATGGACAGAGGAAAATGGAGTCGACGTGCGAATGGTCAGGAAGATAAGGAAGGCGGAGATAGGATCACATGGGATATAAAGAGGACAGTATGTGACAATAAACAGTTCACACTCCAGTGTCTCTGACCGTCCAACTGGCGATCAGAAGACGAAGAGCACGCAGGGCGCTACACAGCGGAGAAGACCGAGCAGCAGGGAGGGCGACTTGTTGAAGCTAGTGGAGCCACTCGTGGACGTTGTTCAACAGCAAGAGCAGCCTGATCAACTGCGAGGAGCTGGATGGACGACAATGAAGACGGTATTGTAAGTAGCGCCTCCACCAAGCCAATCGGGGTGCGAGAAGTCTCGCCGGCTGGACAGGATCCGGCCGCGGCCTACGATGTATATCGGGGCCGTAGCCCAGGTGCGTATGTACCTGGGACCTCTTGGGATACCAGGTGGAGGTTGTTTCAGAACTTTCTGGCGTTAAAGAGGGTAACAGATGAGGGAGATAAACGCCTCATCTTCCTCCAGGAAGTAGGGGCCTCCAACTACGAATTGTTAGAATCTTTATTACAGGGTAAGGAGCCCGAGACGGTCACATTGATGGAGCTGAAGGCAGCCATGGAGCAACAGTTCCAGCCAAAGAAGCTCTTGATGGCCGAAAGATTTGGATTGATGTCGAAGTCGCAGAAGGCTGGGCAGACGCTGCAGGAGTTTTATGCCGGACTACAGAAAGCTGCCAGTAATTGTGTATTTGAGAAGGTCAAGGATATTAGAGATATGATGGTGGCGATGGTTTTTATAGGTGGGTTAGCTTCCGTAGAAACAAGGAAGCGGTTGCTTGAGAAGGAGAAACTAACGTCAAGGGAAGCGTTGGAGGTAGCAGAAGCGTTTGAGAGAGTTGGAAAGTATGCACCACATCTGAAGCAGGGGGTGGTTGAGATAGGAGTGGCAGCTATCGCGTCGGAAGAGTCGAAAACCCCTTCTCAAGCAAGGGTAGAAAGACAGGATCGCGGTTCGATTCGCCAAGCAGGACCGAGTCTTGCAAGGAGTAAGGGTAAGGCGGTAAATAAGCGATCTCGTGTTCTGCCAAATGGACCGCAACAGTGCTGGGGAAGCGCGGGACGTGAACACATAGCGACGGCATAGCGAACAAGTCCTTTTTCAGGGCAAAGCGTATTGCAAATTGTGTTTACACGTCCGGGCACCTATCCAAGGCATGTCGGATAAAGAAATTTCCGGCACCTCCCGCCAGGTACATTGGTGTGCGGAGCAGGATGATTCCGATGATGAGGATAATCAAGAAGTTACGATTAGCAATGTGCAAGCAGCGAGATGCCGGAATCATGTACAAACTTCCTCGCAAAGTAACGGTAATGATTCAGGGCGAAAGGAAAAGTTCGAGAAACCTCTGAGTAATAGTAATAGAGGTAGTATAAGAACACGTATGACTATAGAACCAGCTATAATGCTTCCCATTATGGTAAATGGACGTACCATTGAGTTTGAGCTGGATACGGGCGCCTCGGTGTCGATAATCGACGAGGCAACATGGTCGAAGATAGGTAAGCCAGAAATGAAACCGACCAAGTTGGAAGCGACGGCTTACAATAACAGCCCTATCAGTTTTGAAGGTAGATGTAGAGTGGAGTTACAGTTCAAAGGACGTGTTATTGTAATGGAAGTTTATGTGCTACGCACAGCTAGCCACCCATTGTGTGGCCGGGATATGATTAGGGGATTACAAATAGACTGTGGACCCCACGTAAAAAACATGGAGGAGAAGTCGTCCTATACTAAAGAGCAGTTACGGGAAAAAATAAAAGTTCTATTAGAAGAAAACCGAATGTTGTTTGAGAAAGGTTTGGGAAGATGTACTACTGCAAAAGTAGCGCTAAAGTTGAAGCGAGGGCTAGAGAAACCCAAATTTTGCAGAGTACGGCCAATCCCGATTGCGTTGAGACCCAAAGTGGAGGCTAAGTTGCAGGAGCTCATGGAGAATGGTACACTCACGAGGGTGGAACATTAAGAGTGGGCCACGCCGTTGGTGGTGGTCCCTAAACCAGGAGGAAAGATAAGACTTTGCGGAGATTATAAAGTAACGGTAAATCCTCAATTGGATATTAATCAATATCCATTGCCCAAACCGGATGACTTGTTCCATATGCTAAACGGAGGGAAAAAGTTTTCGAAGATGGACTTATCAGATGCATATATGCAACTGGAATTAGAACCGGAATCTAAGAAATATACTGTGATATACAGAGTTCCCATTCGGCATTGCGTCTATTCCAGCGATATTTCAGAGGAATGGAGAATCGACAGACTGGAATCGAGAGTTGTCCTATATTTGGATGATATTCGACGGTAACCGCCCAAATGATGTATGCCATAGCGCGGCTGAGAGAAGTATTAAAAGACTGAGAGAAGCAGGGTTTCAGTTGAAAAGAGAGAGTGCGAATTTTTGAAGGAAGATGGAGTTTTTAGGGAATATGTAGACACATGACTCAGGTAACGCGCACCAAAAAGGTAAGCGCGCATTGGATGACATGCCTGAACCAAGAATTTGGAAAAGTAGGTTCATTTAAGGACTGAGTACAGTATTATGGCAAATTTATTCCAAACCTCTCCACGTTGGCAGCCCCGTTGAATGGACTGAGAAAAAAGGGAGTGCCGTTTCAGTGGGAGGAGGCGCAGAAAGACGCAGTTAAACAGATAAAAAAGCGATTGACAGAAGCGGATATTCTTAACACTATGACCCGCAAATACCAGTAGTTTGGCAACAGACGCCTCTGAATACGGCTTAGGGGCCGTAATTTATCATAAAATGCCGGATGGGAAGGAGAAGGTGATAGCGTATGCGTCGCGGACGCTAACAAAAGAAGAAAGGAACTACTCGCAGATTGAAAAAGAGGCTTTGGGCATAGTGTATGGTGTGGAAAAGTTTAACCAATTCTTGTATGGTCGTAAGTTTACCCTGCTAACTGATCACCAACCATTAGTAAAGATATTTGGACCGAAGAATGGGATACCAACCATTGCAGCGAAACGGCTGCATCGTTGGAGCCTTCGCCTCATGATATACTCCTTTGATATAGAGTACAGGAAGACTTCGGAATTCGGGAATGCCAACGGGTTATCCAGGCTGCCGGATCCAAGGGAATTGCCAAGCCCGCAAATGGTGGTAAATGAGGTGACGGAAAATCAGTTGACTGCAGAAACGTGGAAGGGCATGATATTAAATGAGCAACAGGTAGCAAAGGCAACACAAGAAGATGAAATATTGAAGAAGGTGTTTAAGTATGTCATGAAGGGTTGGCCCCCGAGGGTAAAAGAGGAAGAGTTAAAACCGTATGAGAAAAGGAAGACGGAAATAAATGTGTATAAGGGTTGCCTAATGTGGGGCAGTAGGGTAGTAGTCCCAAAAAAGTTCCGCAGGATGGTGTTAGAAGTGCTACACCATAGCCATTATGGAAGGAATAGGATGATCGCACTGGCTAGAAGGAAGGTGTGGTACCCAAATATTGACAGGGATATACAGAGAAGGGTACAGGCCTGCGAAATTTGTGCAACATTTGGGAATGAGATGGTAAAGACGCCGTTGCACCCGTGGGATGCCCCAGGAAAAGTATGGCAAAGGTTACATATGGATTTCGCGGAAACTACCGATGGAAGGAGATGGCTAGTGATGGTGGACGCGAAGTCCAAGTGGCCCGAGGTGGTACAGATGAAAAGTACCACGGTGGAGAGAACGATAGAGAAATTGAAAGATATTTTAGTATGCATGGGTTACCTGAACAGATAGTCGTCACAATTTGATAGCAAAAGATTTTAACGAGTACTGTATTAGAGAACAATATAACATAGAACTGATTTTTATTCCGCCGTATCACCATAACTCAAATGGTGAAGCGGAGAGATTCGTACAAACTTTTTAAAAAAGGGTACTATAAAGGAAAAAAGTCGGGCAAAACGGTTGAGGCGATAGTAAGAGACTTACTATTTGAGTATCGGGTCACCGAGCATCCCACCACAGGATCCTCCCCAGCGGAAATGCTGATGGGACGTTCGTTAAGGACGACGTTAGATGTGATGAAAACGCCCAGTGAGAGTGCTGTAACCCCCCAAATGCGTAAAATGAAAGAGTATTATGATAGGAAAACAAGGGAAAGGAAATTCGTGGGAGGACAGGAAGTATATTTACGTAATTATTCAGATAGGCACGAGAAGTGGGTGCCGGGGATCATTTTAGAAGTAGTGGGGTCTAATCTGTACCGTGTGCATTACGGTACGGGCAGCAGAGTGGCCCATGCAGATCAAATTAAAAAGAGAGTGACTTTCTGGGAGGAGGAGGAGCCACACGCGGAGTCGAAGAAAGTGGGAAGGGCGGCCGAGAAGTCGGCGTTGCGAGAGGAGGTAAGGAGAACTTCACCGCGACGATCGACCCGTAAGAGAAAAATGACCGATAAAATGAGAGAGTATGTAGAAAAGAAGAAAACAAGGCAGAATCAATATGTGGCGCAAACAATCTCGGTAAACAAGATAGTGAGGAAGGAGGATATAAAAGGAGGCGAGAGGGGTAGGCAAGCCCAATTCGTTCAAGATGAACCTCTCGACCTGGACCCCGACTATTCAAGCTATCTGGAGCCCGAACCCGGCATCGACTACTACGGCGGCGACGACGGTCGCGATACCGGCTGGCATCCCGAGTGCGGGAGGAGGGTTGGTATCACCACCCACGGTGGTCTACCTAGGAACCCCTCCCCCGGACTTCCGACGAGTGTGGCATGCCCGATGCTGTCTCAGGGAAGCTCTCCCCAAACGGTGATACTGATGCCGTCGGTAGGTCCTTAAAATATAGTGAGCGTCAGCATTATTGTAGGATTCAGGAATTTCAGACGGTTCCGCCGTCGAGGGGGCTACCCCGCGGTCCGCTGCTTATGCGCGGCGGGCGCGGGGGCGGCCGGC